TCTTGTCGGTCATTGGTCTTGTTGCTGCGACATCGCCCAAGCGGTTGCCGGAGTCCCTGTCAGGAACACGCCGGCCCCGCTCCGCTCACGCTCACGGTCATCATCCTAGACGGGGTCAGCAACTTTCTGTGGCGGATGCGTGGGGCGGGTAGGGGGCCGCAGAAAGTTGCAGTAGTTGATGGTGTCTAGTCGCTGTAGCAACGTGTGTGATTTTGCTTGGTCATTGACAAATTCATGGGCCTGTCGGCAGGGAAATGTTTGCAAGACAGTAAACGTGTTAGCTTCAACAATACTCGAACATGTTCCAGCGCACCGTAGTGTTCAGAGGGCCTCACTTGCCTACTTGCGTTGGTCTGGTCAATTGCCGCCCAGTGCTGAGAAAAGTAAGCACGTTTGAAAAACATGCCGCTGCCGAATCAAAACACACCCCGACTGCAGTATGGCACTGCCGCAAATGTACTGTAAAGTGGCAACAAGCGCCACGATCGATTGCAAGTGCTATTTCATCAACGTGAGCATGGATGGGTATTCCCAGTGCCGCAAGCCGACTGGCACTGCCAACCTGGGTGCCCAACTGCTCCCCAGACTTCATGGCAGTGGCTTCGCCATCACCAGGTCCAGGCCCGGACCTGGCCCCAAAGCGTTTCGGTGGGCGTTGGACGTGAGCGTTTGACAGCCGCCTTTTGTACCCGCACTGGGCACCACTGTTTAGCAGCACATATGTGGAACAAGCAATGGTGGCGGGTCAATGCACATGTCAGCATGCATGCCCAGGTCACAAACCAGCAACGACGCACTGCAATGGTTCGCGCGATTCAAACAGCAATGTGTGGCAAACGCACAACAATTGTTCGTGGCAGTGTTCGTGGCCAATATGCGCCGCCATCCTTTCCAAACTGGCAGCTTCGTGCCCGAGTTGCTGGGCTGTTCGTGGGTGTGTTGTTCCGGTCATCCGGTCATGGACGTTGGGCCGGTCATGGCAAGACGGTGCCAATGTCTCGAACAGATCACGAGGGCATCCAAGCCATACCATACGCAACGAACAGGAAACCAGTTCACGCGAACGCCACCAGAAGCAGGTTCCGACTTTCGCTGCCCCACCTGACACTAACCGTCTCCGCAAAGGCAGGTTCTGAGCGTTGTTTGGGCGATGTGTTTGCCTGCAAAACCTTTTACTGAATTGTTCATGGAAGACTTGCATCACAAACAAGGCAAATATTTCATTGGAACGCGAAGGGCTTTACTGAAGGGTTTGCCATGCCCTGCCGTGTAGCCTAAGGCCCTTTTGCATGTGTGATGCGCCATTGATTTTTGCTATACGATGCATTGGTAGGTTTCCCCGTCACTTGCGTCGTTTTCCCCTTCAATTTCCACAAATCAAAACTGTTGGTCGACGTTTTTTTGTGCCGCGTCCTGCCCCAGCGTGTTGTGTATTCGGCCGTCAATCCATGTGTACCGCAGGTCGTACACAAGATCGAACAAATCAAAAATTTCAATTTCTGAGATGTTACAACAACTACCACCCGTTGAGGCCCACAAGGGTTTAGGTGGCTTACGTACCAACATTCCTGCGGAGGGCGGGTGCACATCAGTGGCTGTTCGTGAGCCATGGCGCGGGCAATAGGCAGACCGACGAACTGTTTATTCCACAACGTTTGCAATTGTTTTTTCATGTTTTTCGGGGCCCGGCCTTGTCTGCAATCAAGAAAGATAGGTTCCTGAAAAAATTGCGTGCAGTTTTACAGGGAGGACATGTACCCGACAGATACATCAGCACTTCGTTTTGCGGCAGGCGTACTGCTCCAAACTTTGCTGTGTGTGGCAGCCTCCGAGGCAGCCGGCTGCCTCACAAAGTTTTTGGCGCGAAGCCGCGCTCGGCTAAACATTCTGAATCTGACGAAGGGGGAAGGATTCTTTGTTGTTGTTGTTTCCTTCCTCTTACGTAGGGAAATTTTACATTTCGACTTTTTAGGTGAAAAATCCCTAAGCATTGTACATGTGGAAACACGCTGAGCTAAAACGACTCGTCCAACACCACTGTTTGCCGATTGGAAATCGCCAAATTTGCTGGGATGTGGCTTCGCGGGACACATTCAAATGCCGGCTTGGAGGAAGGTCACCCAAACGCAATTTGTTCGAAGAATTGTTTGCTTTTGTTTCTACACCGGTGAAGGCGCCACCCCATCACACGAAGGAACCAAACCCACAAGGACACAACTGCAACATCGTTGGTAAACCAGAGACAAACACCATGAACCACTACAAAGCACATTTCACAGATAAACACTTGATGCATGAGACGGCAAGTGCTGGACACAAATTGCCCACTTCAGGGCATCCACCCAAGCCAAGTTCAAGTCACAAAACGTTTCCACCCCCCAGAGCCACACATTGCCCAATGATTTTCCCAGGCATGCTATGTGTTTGCTTCTAACGATTGGGCAAGGAAATGGCCAGTTTGCAATGCCCGGGTTTCTGTGTGGGCCATGTCAGGAGCTGCAAGAGTCCGGGGTGTCTTTGGTGACCAACTTGACCGACCAAAATTTCGAGGACGCAATTGTGCAGGAATGTTGTTTGTTTGAATTGTTTTGAGGGGTGGGTTCCTGCTGTACAAGCAGCCATTTCAAGTCGAACCTCCCATTCGACGTTGGTCGCATTTGATCCTGAATACCCTGCAACCTGCTCCAAGGGAGTCCCGAACGAACAAAATGATTGAGAAGTGATTCGGTTCGGTGATGATGCACGTTTTGTTACTGTATGCTGCCCCCTGTTTGCAGAAATTGTTTCGACGTGTTGTGGGTTCACATGATCGGAACGAATGGCACCGCCCCATGGCTGTGCATGGAAAACAGATGATGGTTGGTAGACGATGGTAGGTCCACCCTGCATGCCACGGTGGCAAGAAACCCAATATGTTGCTGCCAAGCGTCGTCCATCAACGGTATCAATCACCAAAACCAAACCTGTTATGCCACGGGAATTTGCTGCGTTTGTCGCAGGAATTGGTAGCCCGTGGCGATAATAAGCCCCGGACTCACACTGTGGGCGGCACTCACATCTGATTTTTGCATATTTTTGCTTTACAAATGGAATACACCCTATCAGATCTATAGGGCTGGAGGCGAGTGGATGGACACATGAGCAACCACATATATGTTTTACTAAAAACGTCTAGGGCGTGCTATGTTTTCTTGTCTATCATCAATATTCACTTGTGAACGAGAGAGGTCCTCCACAAAAACGAGATACTTTTGCTTGATAACACTCGAATGGTTTGAACGAGATAGTTTGAATTGCTACGACAGTGGTCTGAACGAGGTACTGTGACATGCCCTCCCACTTAAGCACTCGTAGTCGTGCTGCCGCAATGCATATGGATATGCACGGCGGAAATACTTGGATCCAGCGCGTCCATGCCTGACTCAACCGCGGTTTGTTTCTGTTTTCGCACGGTCGTGTTGATTCAGCACGGCGATGAGGCCTTGGGTGGTGAAATTTTATGCTCCTTGGTGTGGGCATTGCAAGGCGTGGAGCGAGTGACCTTCCATCACTGCGTGCGTCCGAATCCGTGCGCTTGCGGCCGGGTGTGCGGACCAAGTGCGTCCGGGTGTCGAGCCTGCTGCAACGCAACGCCATGTTCCCTGATTCACGCAGAACATGTAATACAGCATAATAACGCCGAAAAACGTGTTGGTCTGATGTGACCTGGTTCAGGCTATTTTCCCCAACATTTGCTGCGTTTGCGACATTCCGTTCATTTCACCGGCTCACCGTTTTCCGTTGACCGAATCTGTTTTGTATCCGTGCACTATACAACTTGTGGTCAAAACACGCAGCATCACCGCAACGTCGCTATAACAACAAATGCTATGACGAAACCTCCAACGTGCAGGTTACGTCTTTGAAAAACAACCTCCAAGCAATAGAGAACCTTTTCAAGAACAGACCGAAAGCTCGAGACTCAAACAAGAAGTAGTTCGAAAAAAAAACGTTCTAAACCACGGCTCTTGGCGTTGCTGCTCACAGTGGCCTTCAAGGGGAGCCGGGAGTAAGCCCTCAGGGCGTCGTGAACCATTGAGCCAGCGCCATGGGTGAGGTGAGTCCAGCCGTGTTGGCACATTTGCGCCTTGGACGTGAAAAACCCAGGGTGTCAATTGCGTGGGCAGATGTAGGGCCATGTAAAGTCCCAGCTATAGTATTGGAACATTTCATGGTGATCAGGGCCAGGGCAGTTTTGTTTTTGACTTGAAATTTCCATCAAGATAGTACTTCACATTAGCTCGGCGAGGCATTGTGCATCATTCATTCCCACACACACATTCACACCTACAGACCATGTTTAGCAGCTAGCAATCCAACAAATTCATATCATGAACACGTCAGGCCAGCACCATCTCGGTCTCAAAACGGTTTTGAACACCCACAATCCTCCAATGGCTGCACTGATGGCATCTCTCCTTAAGGGCCATGCATAAGTACAGATTCAACAACCGTACATCACTTGAAGACAGGACAAATGGTTTTGTGGGGCAGTGCTCGGCGTGCACAAGATACGCCGATGCTTCCAGGTTCTACGACTTGGCCAAGAGTGAGGCCAGTTTTTTAGGTCTCTTGCGGCTTTGGCAACTGCACGATCCAGGACTGAGTTCCGGCCACGGTATCCACAACTGATGCGCGATACGGTGTCCATGGATGTCCATGGATCAACTGAAGGAGATTGATTTGACCCTAAGTTCCATGGCAAACGGTTTTTTTTGCTATAGTTATTGCTGAGATCGGTCACTTGACATGCTTTCGTATCCACTCACTCGGACATGGTTGGGTGGCACTCTTTCAGATGTCGTTTGTCGCCAGCGTTCCGCACCCATTCTGAGCGGACCAATGTTGCACCGAGTGGGCCCCTTGCAGTTGCCTGAGCAAGTGAGTTAGTTCCCAGGTCTGCAGAGAGGCCGGTTGCATACGCCACACCAAGATCCGCGGAGCAGGATGTCCCAACTTTGATGAGGGCAAGCTGCAGCCAGTCACCGAAGAACTGCAGAGGCTGTTCCGAGACTGTTTCCGCAGGAAGTGCCACGATCATGGAATTAACAAATGTAATTTTTCAAGAGTTTAATCTCTACATGTTTGTTGTTAAAGTCTTGGAAACTGTCGTTTAGACAAATTTTGTGAGGTGCAATTGAGTTTGGCTAAACTATGCTAAACTGATTGTTTGCCAATTTGGCTAATCCGATGTGTGTGTTCCACGGTTGGAACATCCCCAAACGCGTTGTTATTTCTAGTTCGCGAGTGAATCATTGTTTTGCTGCTTTTTGAGGTGCTCTCCGTGCTAGGTCCTCTAGGACAAAGAACCCCTTACCCCCTTCACCCCAAAATGAAACAAAAAATGATCAGAAAACCAGGAGTGGCACAGGCCTAGAAAGTAAGCCATGTGTCCAACAATTTCATGTGTTCCCTTAGGAAGCAGCTTATGTTTTGTAATTGTGTGCAGGCCGTGGGTTCAAAGGTCACTTGACACCTGATTGTCCCACTAGCCACTGAGCATTTGCTGGCTCTATATGACCGACATGCCGATCGTGTGCCCAGAAACCATGCCTTGTCCGAGTTCCCCCTTGTTTTAGCATTAAGTAAATGTATTGAATTGGCCAGAGGTGTGCCAATCACTCCATCTTCCCACCGACCGAAGCATCTCAGGTCAGCCGACGTTGCTTTCGACTGACCCGGACGGTCGACCCGGAAGATCACGGAAACCGAGGAGATCGGCGAAGAGACTTCCTGGATTCATTTGGGCCCTGCCACTGGGTGGCCTCGTGGTACCCTGGACGGCAAATAACGGGAGTTGGTTGAAATCTTGTGGTCATTCCGACGGAGGCATGCAAAGATGAAGACGTTCGTCACTATGTCACTACGAGGAAGAGATGGAGGAAAATGTCTATCGTTTCCACTCTGGGCCTGTTTTTTTTTTGCAATTTTGACTGGAGATTTTGCCGCGTTTGGGAGGTTTTTCACCTTGGCTGGGCTGAGAAAAAGAGCAGACACGGTGAGCCAGAACGAATGCCAATGACATAAGCTTTGACATGGAGAACCCTCACCAACGCATACCCTGGCACAGTGACTCCAAAGTAGGGAAGAGAAGCACCGGCGTTTTGTGTGGCATTGGTGTGATTGAAGTCCGCGAGGTCATCGGTCACCGTAAGTCAAACAGCCTCCCCATCCGCATGTTGCGGAGTGCTTTGCGTGCTTCTAGGCGGAACAGGTGACTAAGAGTTCATGTCAGCATGTTGCTTTCAGAGTTCACATGTCATATTAAGTGCTCGTCTTGAGGATTTGTTGGGACTTTGTGGTGACCCCCGAGATCTTGTGCCACACCATGCAAGAAGCCAGCAAAAGGGAGATGGGACGCCATCAGCTGGAGCCTTGGATCATGTGGGGCGTGGGGTGGATTTGTACGATTGGTAGACGACGCCATGTATGCGGCCATATTATGCAGCTCAACCACAATGCATAATTAGTGTCACGGCCATCCTTTACAGAAATCCATGGACATCTGTATTTGAGTGCACCTTCATGTTGGCACTGTTGCATGAGACATGCTTCGACGCGGCAACTTGCGCACTCCGGAAAAACCTCCCGATCGACAAAGAGAGCAAACTCAGCCGTCTTAGTTGAGGTTGTTCTTAGTTTTGTCTTAGTTCTTGGCTCAGTTGTCTTAGTTCTTCGTTGTCTATTTGTTGCCGTTCTCAGGTTCTGCGTCCGCTTCCGGACCGATGAGTGTGTTGATTTCGTAGGGATGGCCATGAGTTTCTTGTCGCATGGGAAAGGGCCTTGGGGCCTTGAGACGAGTGAGTGACTTGTTTGAGAACGGTTTGGAAGGGGCTGTGGGTAGAGTTGAGGATCAATTTTTGGGAAGACCAAAGTATGTGTATCCAGATGATTTAAGAATCAAGCGTCTCAATTTGGCTTCCTTCAAGCCACTGAGGGCCTGGGATGGCTCTTGGCACGCAGCTTCAACTTGGGCAAGGGAGGAACAGCACGTGCTCAAATGCAGCTGGATGCATTGTGGCGCTTGGTCATGGAAGACCTGGATGCTTGGATTTGCTGTCAGCTAATTTGGACAGAAGATAGACCAAAGACGGAGCTTATTTGTGCTATATGACCAAGACCGCCGCCGCATCCCCAAAAAGGAATAAGATGTTTGACCCAGCACCGCCAGTCAGGAGAGGGCGGAGCCGGCGGCCAGCGAATTTCGAAGGTGGCGGAGGTTCTGCTCCTCACTTGACAGAATTATGCGACTCCAGTCGGTCTTGAACCAGGTGTTTCTTTTTCTTCAATGACATCGATGGCAAACATGTGGGGCCTACATGGCCATTTCAGGCATTAGGTCACTAGGTCTAATTAGTAGGGATCTGATTGAATCCGCCCTGGGCCGGGGTACAGGCTGCCTCCCGCTTTGGGTTTTTCTATCCAGTCCATGCCAACAGTCCGCCAGATGTGTCGACAGAGCGTCAGGCTATGTCCTCGGGATGTTGCTCCTGATGATCACTTTGCCGATCTCCTTGCCAGTCTCCATTGTTCACACCAGCTCATGGGTCAACCAGAAGCTCGTACACCTCATGCTGCTGATCTTCTGGGCATGCGCCTTGGAGTGCAGCAGGCTTCAAAAATGCCGAAGAAATCCTAACACCATGTGGCTGAGGTGGTGAAAAGTCATTTTGCCAACCCGCCTATAGGGCTTCATCGGGGGAACAAAGACGTGGGCTCCACCTTTTGTGAATTGAGGAGTTGACTTCTCTGGAGCATATGACTCCCCTTTTGTTCATTGAACTTTGCATTAATTAACTACAGAGATAATTTTTAAACAACAACTCTCATAGAAACGGGACAATGTGAAAGTTGCTTGATGAAAGTTGCTTGACAATGTGATAAATGTGTCGATGACGTTCCGTCTTTTTTCCAGGTAAGTAGTCTGTCATTATGAGTGATCCTCCTGGCACCGAGGTCTAATTCTATGCGCCTACTTAACGCTCCATCCCTATCGGCACCCGTTATGGGTTCATGGCCTGCGGGTGGCCAGACTGTACTTCACACTGATCGCGACGAAGTTCGCCCCCTGTAGCGTGAAGATCCTCATGTGGGGTCCGCTGGGTTGGCAAGTGAAAAGGACTGGGCGAAAGTTTGGCACTTCGATTGTTGCCCGAAGGAGGTTGGGGAGTGAAATGGGTCATCGGAGTAGGCCTGGGTGAAAGAGCTTTGGTGAACCAAAGCTGCATTGAGTGCGGTGTTCGTTTCGGCGCATGTTGCCGGGTGGGTGCGCTTGAAATCCAGAGACGCTGGTTAAAAGACAAGGCATTTGGAATCTCTCCACCCCACTCTTTCACATGGAAAAGGAACGAATGCTTTCATGCAGATGGTCGGTCCACCATGTTCTCTGAGATGTTCTTACTATGTTGTTTTTGTCTGTGAAACGGTCACACGAAGCGGTTTGAGATCAATTTTGATCTTGTAGGACCTACTCGTGGTGGGCCAGGGAGGATTTCTGCTGGGAACCTCTGCTGCGAATCCTGCTCGCCGTGGCCCTCAGCGTGGTCTTTGCACTCATGACTGTTACTACCTTGGAGCCTCGTGTGCCTTGGCTTTCGGGCTTCGTCTGAGGTACTGCGCGTACGCTATGAATCCCCTTGGTTGAATTAGATCTATTTGAATTATTTCAAGTATTCTTCCTGGTCGCCTTGCCTGGATGCCATAATCCACCTCGCCTTGGCTCGTGGCCAAAAAGCTCAGTAGGAAGAGTAGTAAGAAGTAGGAAGAGGAAGGAAGTAGGAGGTGGATGCCATGATCTACCTCTTCAAGAAGGAGGAAGAGTACTTCATATGCACCAGCTTCCAACAATTTCCACGGACCCTGCTTTTTTCATCCAGGGGAAAGCGTGAGAGATCATGTGATTCCGCTCCCCCAGCACAAAGGTGCACGGCTGGGTATCGACCTTGAAGCCACGGATCCCCTTGATGGAAGCACGACTGCATCTTGAACTCTCCAGAGCCTGAGGACCCGATGGAGGACGGGGAGAGGATGGGAGGGGAGGAGAGGAGATGGCCACCTTCAACAGGTGCTCTACTACTATCCGCCTGCCGTCACCTACAACTGGTGCAAGAACTTGCTAGTTCTCCCTTGGTATTGCTCACGTTTTGGTCAAAGCAACTCAAGGCTGAAGGGCGAACTGCATCACGTTTTCTCTGAGTCAGGCACCTACAAGGCCCAAACTGCCCGGTCCCTGATTCCAAGCGGGGCCGCTTTACCACACTTGCGTCCAGACCGCCCGACAGGTCACGTGACGGGTGATACGCGAGAGGCGCTTGCATGAAACTTAGCTGGGCTGCTGACGTTGCTGAGCTGTTTGCATGTTGAGGCACAGCCTGATTGAAACCAGAAGATATATGTTTTGGAAGAGGTTTGGGACGTGTTGGCTTCCATCCTTGACCACCACATAATTCCAACAACGATTCTGGACATGGCTAGGAGCCCACCCGCTCACCCTACTTTTTTCCATTGACTCTCATAAACCTGCCTTGATCAAATCTAAACTCCTGCGATCTATTCACAGCTTCTTGGGGGAAGAAAACAGCAGCTTCAGCCGGATGCTATGATCTTCAACGTTGTTTCAGCATGTGTCAACACTGCCGAGAATCTCGCGAAGCAGCTCAGCATAGCCCAGCACAGCCCAGCGAATCAGATGACGGGAAGAGAATTGGCATTGTGCAAGAGCCACCTGTGAGATAGGGGCCACCAGTGCCACAAACAAATCAGGCAGACCTACCACCACGATTGAATACTGCCTCCCGGGCATCTTGACACAAGGCGAGCGGGGAGCACGTTCGCCATGCGGCCACCGCAGCCAGTGGGTGATTTGCGAGCATCTTTGCAGGTGACAGAAAAACCTGCTTGGTTCAGGTGCCGTTTCAACTTGGCTGAGGCCGCGAAGTCAAAAGTAATTACCAGTGAGACGTGCAGCAGGTCAAATTTGATCAAATTTGCACCAACCCTGCATGGAATGGAATCACTGGCTTCATTTGTTCACCGTTTTTCGGCATCAAGGTCGGTAGCCAGGTTTACTGGCGGCTTCCCTGACCGGCATTGACGGCATTGTACTTTTGTCATTGATGCATCGCAATGGTCATGATGTCTAAGATGCTTACCATGTGGCTTGACTTTACGCGCATTGTATTGTTTGTTTTGTTGATATGTTTCACAGTGAGCATGGGCGTGGCCTGTTTGACTCGCCCATGCTCCTTTGCTCCTTCGCTTTGTAGAGCACCTCATGATCTTCATGTTTCTCAGAGTTATCTGGCTCTTTTTGGAGGGACGCGTCCACGCCCTTTTCCTCTCTCCCCAAGTTCACTGGTTCCACTTTGGACCTTTGTTGGCACAGGTCCTGGCACCCACCTGGGAGAAGATCGCTGAAGACTTGAAAGGCCCGAATCTTGGCACCGTAAGGGATGCTAGTGCTTTGCAGATGGAATATTGGATTGGTAAATGTTGGTAATGCAACAGGTTTTACAATGCAAATGGATGGAGGTGAACGTTTTTACATGAGGTGGGATGAGTTTGAGCTTCCGAAGCTTTCCTGCTGCAGGTTTTGCCAATCATGGTAGCCATGGTCAGGTAGACTTCTTCCACGATGGAAAAACCACCTCTCTGGGTTGGCCGTGGCCCACCATTCATCAAGTTCAAGAACTGCCGGACAACATCTTTCGAAACTTCAGTTTAACTTCAGCCGAGTTTATTAGACATTATTAGTAGACCTATGCGTGCACCACATTCCACCACGGTATTGATCTTGAATAAGGCTTTAAGGGACTGTATTCTATGGAATTCTTTCTCTGGGTGGTTCTTCCCGCAAATGATTACTTTGGACATCCGCCAGTGTTCCACCAGAAAGTTACACCATCGACCTCCAGGGCAGATGAACGTGGGGAAGGTGGACTGTACCGAGGCCCTGCTCGGGAGGCGGTATGAGGCGGTGCATGTTGGAAGCATGAAGACGATTGATAAAGCATGAAGATTGATGAAGTTTCCATACTTTTTGCACTAGTTTAGGTGATGATTTGGAACTCAAAGTGAGGATCATGATGGATCATGGGAACGTGTGAGAATCTACTTCTGGGATGGCTATCCACACAGCATGCAGTGTACCACTTGGCGAAAATGGAAGGAGAGGACATGTGATACTGGTCCCGTAGCAGATCCATACGTCGTGGCTTGCCAGTCAGAGCACCGGAACGCTTGCCCTTACCAAGTGGCAAGAGCTTTGGGGTGTCGCTGAATTTCGTTTACACCGACAAGAAACAAGTGGGGATTGCTTTCACTCCTACAATGATCCTAGAATCACATACATGGCTGCTTTGGCTCCTTGGACTTTTCCACGCGGCTTTGGGGACAACAAGGTCGACCCATCTCCACTCAGTTGGCCAGACTCAGATATCAGATTTGGACGACGGTGTAGGTGATGTACATATCCGACGTCAAAATCAGACGAGTTTGAATGGCATGACATCATTATATGTTTGCTTTTTGTTGTTTCCTGACTTTGTGTATCTCTGTGTCTTCATCATTCGACTGGCTTTCCGTGGACGTTCTCGTGCCCCAGATAGACCCAAACTCCCACGGTGGATCGAGTTCACTCGACGATGTTCACTTGGTGAAAAACACACCGCCCACAGTCGCAATTCCTCGGGAGCTTGTTCAGCATCCACGGCTTTCCCACGCTGAAGATCATCGCCGATTCTTGGGCTGGAAGAGTCTGGGGAGCGGTTTGGACCGCGATGGCCGGTGATCCAACATATGATCCCGATCCTCAGGACCCGAACTGACTGACTCTACGAATGAACTGACTGACTCAGTTCTCCTGTGCTTTTGGATGCTGTAAGGGATGCTTGTTTGGTGAAATAAATCGTCCTCCCTCTTCTTCAATTTGGTGTTGCCTTGCAGTCCAAAGGTCAGAGCGATGGTTAGGGGTTTCGATTTTCATCAGCCCTCCTTAATATTTCGGAGACCTTTCATGAATGGTCACTTCGAGGCGCTCAATTAGGTGGGATCAGGGTCAGCCTGAAGCTTGGCAGCGTAGACTGGGGCACGGGGAATTTCAACCCGAAAAGAACATGCAGATCACCATCTAAAATCTAAAGCATTCTCCTCAGGCCACTGCTCTCAAACCAGAATTTTCCGGTGTGAAACCACCCCGAAGCTCACGGCCGTTTTGAGGACGGGAAACTGTTTGGGAGCTCAGAATGGCTTCGCTTTGCCAGTTGGAGCGTGGAACTGGGCCCGGTCAGAAACCGTGGAACTGGACCTCCTGAACTTTCATCATGCGTTCGTTCTGCATGAAGCAACGCTAGTTGAACCACAACCTGAGGCCCTAAGGGACACGATTTGGTGGGTTTGTTGCTCAAGAGCTAACACTAACCGGGGCACATTTGTCCGCAGCTCGGAAAATGCCGGTCAGGGCACTAGAGGGACGATAGGAATGCACGAGGCGTGTAGCATCCACCCTGCAGAGGATGTCCTACCAACCTGTATCGTAATGGGTGACCCAACCCGATAGGGAAGTTATTTGCAAGCTGGAAAGCCCAATCGGGGCAACCCTGTCAACCCTCTATATCGAACTTCTTGGCGGGCAATCAATCTCAGGGACCGTTTTCCGTTTGAATACGAGCTCCTTTGGTGCTTCCAGAATTGATGCAGCTATTCTTGAAAGAAGCGCCATGCTCCGATTGTTTTGGCGCACTTCCACTCCGTTTTCTCAGAAGGTCCACGGATGTTGACAGGGGTTCATGTGGAATTGTAACCAGCTACTTCTTGTGCACCTGTAAGTTCTAGTCTCCATACCCTGGTGCCATCACTGTACATGTTCACTAGCTAGAAGACCTCTATAAAGACAACTAAAGAGGAGGCTTTTCTTTTGTTAAAGGGTTGCAAGCTATTCCTTCTTCAAGCCTACTTCCCAAATTGGGGCTGTGGCACGGACAGTCAGCAAATCGCGCTATTCCTTCTTCAAGGCTTGCCCCTCCGGCTCTCTTTTTGTCTCAGTCTCTCAGGTACTCCTTCTCTGGCCGCCGTAGCCGGGCGTGCTCAGACGATTTTCAATCCTGGGATCTTGTGTGCGAGTTGCCACCTGCCACAGACGATGCGAAGAAGTTGACGTCCAACGAATGCGTATGTTTGAACACACTCTGCAGCGTTCGACCCCATTAGACCGTGAGCCCACATGTTTGAATATATATTTCTTTCTGAAAATTGACGAACCCTGGGGCCCAAACGGTCTTTGAGCCCTTTGTTCCAGCATCCTGAGCATCCAAATCAGCGCACCACTTGAGGGCCGAACTGTGAAGCATTCAGGTCTGACTCTGCCAACAGTGGACGTCACCACGCAAATGACCCCTCGCGGTCTCTACACTGCCCCAGGCTATGAAACCTTAGTCGAATGGGCGCGCGAAGGCGGGAGTTGCTGAAGACTACCCGATGTTGACACAGGACACAGACGTGTGGGATTCTAGCCACAACATGCCACAACCATCTAGTTGTGGGCGAAGCAGGGAGTGAAAGCACATTTTTTAGTGGTTTCGGAACTTCTTTTGTAGCAAATTGGGCATGTGGAGCAAACAGAAGGTGCATCCGCTTAGAGGCCCGAGACATCCGTGAAGACCCGGACAGCGCCAAAGATGCCCTTCCCTTCAACCCCAGTAGTCAGAGGCCCATGGCTAACTAGACCTAGCGGATTCACAGCTTCGTGGTGGGCACCCTAAGAATCGTCTCTAAAGCCAAGCACTGCCCACGGAGTCTTTCCCGCCAGTTTTGGGGCGAGGAGGTTTCGTGCCGCGAGCCGCTTTCGAAGCACCTTGGGCTCCAGTGCTGAAGCTCCACCAGCCCTCAGCGATCGCCATGGGAAACCTGTCCACATGCTGCGGCCCACCGGAAGAGAAGAATCCTAGATGAAATTGGCTGAGCTGAGCTTCAGGAGGGTGCCTCAACAACGAATTGCCATGCTAATGTTTTCCTAGGAGTGACTCAGTGACTCATCAGTGCTTTTCTCCGAATTGGAAGCGCTGGGGCGCCGCTGGGCCCCCCAAGAAATGAGGTGATCCAGTCCGTAAATACCCGAGGAGGGCAGATCCTGGGAGTCTGGAAGAACTTGGTTGGAACCCACCGCAGGGTCACCATGAGACTCCTTGGGGGCTTGGGTGTTCTTGAGATGGGCCTGATCATTTGGTGCCCGTTCAAGCGAAACCAGAGGCCGTCGCCGTGGTTACTCGACGATTTGCATTCGCAATCAGCTGCACCTACTCGAGCGAGATCTTTCTGCATGCTTGAACCTTTCACCGAGAGATTCCATGTAGAAGTGGAGCCCCGTTTGTTCGGCGTCCGCCGCAGGGTCGTTGCGAGATCTAAGGAAGCAAGAGCTCATCAAAGTTCCTGTGAGGAAGGGTATGGAGGACATTTGATGTGGGCCAGGCAACCCTGTTTGAGGGTGTTGTCCAAAATAGGTTGGCTCTTTCTGGGATAAAAGAAATTACAAAGATGTGCTGTATGTGACTACTGCCGGATTTGGTCCATCAAGCAGATCTTTTGATGAGAATATTTCCCACCGTCTGATGAGCAAAAGAGCATGAAGACCAGGAAGAGCATGAGGAAGCGGAGGAGGTGTTGCCGAAGGGCTTCACTATCAGTTTTCTCGACCAGAAGCCTGGATTGCAAGAGGTCTTGGTGCATGGCAAAGATCGCCGAGTATCGGTTCCGAGTGTTTGATGCAAAGATCGCCAGACCTGCATAAAATCAAGATATCGATGCGGCCTGCAGCCTGCCCTCAGTTCAGCAAAATCTACGGGTACTCTTCTTCCGGCTGGAGACCGGAGACGGGCATGCCCCCCAAAAGGAAATCTGAGGACAGCACGGCATCCGGTGCCTCATCCGCATGTCGACGTCCCACCCTAGTTCCTGACAGCCCATGGCTTTGGGCACCACAGAGATGCACGTCCTATGGGAAAGGCTTTGGTCGGGAACACATTTCAGGGATGCATTCAAACATGTTCAAACCATCAGCTTCATGGTTAAAATTGCCTCATGGGATCCATGGGAGATTCGACGAATTCTCCGCTTCATGGTGTGCGATCGGATCTCGACGTGCTCGAGGACGGGGAAGGAGGTGGACGTGACCTTCACGGAGCAACCACTGGGCTTCAAATTGGTGAAGACCCAGGTTCCCCTGACCGTCTCAGGGATCTTGGACGCTTGGAGGCAGCAGGTTGCAACCGAAGCATCGTTTGGATATGTTTGGATGCACCTAGAGTGGGGGTGCAAGCCATGGGCGAGGTTCAAAACGTTCGTTTGGAAAACGTTGGAATCATCACCAGCCAGAAGTGCTTGCCAATGTGGGGAGCCGAAGTCACCATGGATGATAAATGACAGTGGTGTGAGGGCTTCAAGTTTAAAACATTGTGAACCTTCCCTTTCTCTTTCTCCACTCGAGCTCCTTTGAGTCACTTGGATTCATTGTCCTTGCTTTGCCTTCTTGGGCATCTAATAGCCGAATTAGAGCATGGGGTAGGGAATGTTCTCATGTTCCATCATTTTCCCATGCCCGCATGGCAACGAAGGCGCCACGAGAATCGTCCCTCCCAGAAGTTAAAAGGAAATCCAAGACATTCGTGCAATGAGCATGTTGTTCGCCATGGGTAATGTGTCAAGATTAGTCCAGAGCTGGGTGCTGGAATTCAAAAGGTTGGACCAACTGCTTAGGACGAAGGTTGCGTGAAGGCCAAACATCTTCACGTGGAAGCTGGCTGGACCATCAAGAGTCTTGGATTCGTTTGCTGTCACTGGCGTGTGGAGGAACCAGTTGTTCAAGGGGTGCATCCAGCATGGAAGCGGGCCCGAGATCCAGATCAAACCCACGAGTGGATTCTCTCCACATCTTTGTGATGTTCACCTCATGAGTGCCCCGATGATCTGCAAAATGTCGCAATGTTCCAAGGCTGGAGGTTCTGACATTAGAAGTTGCTACCTGACATAGCATGTCGCGCATGTCGTAGCAATGTTTTGACTGGTGACCTGATTGGAATTCCTCCGGAACAGTCCGGAACCACGGGTCCGACTCCATTTGGCACCCCAGCAGTGTCCCATTGGGCACCCACGGCAGGCGATGGGCTTCGAACCCTTCCCACCGATCCGACGAAGGAATGCCCGAGCGAGCCTCGGTCGCCTTGTGTCGCACGAACGCATGCGCTGAGGGCGGTGAACGGCATGGATTTGGCCAACAATGTCGACGACGCCTTGGATCAGTTCCTCGGATCAAAAGCCGGTGGGTGAAGCACCGAGACTGTAGTCACTGTAGTCACTCAGACTGGGTTTTACAGAAACTCGGATGAAAACTGATGAAATCCTTGTGATTTGAGAGCATGATCCACCAGACCATGATGGAATTCAAGCCGTCTTTTGGGAACAAGAATCGGTCCTCACCGGATGAAACTTGGCCAAATCAACTCGAAAAGTGAGGCTATCAAGTTGGAGGCCATCACTAGTACTCTTAGGTTGGAGGCCATCGCAAGTAGGTTGGAGGCCATCCTTACCAGGTTGGAGGCCATCGCTCTTAGGTTCTTGAGCTCTTTGAAAAAGAGCTTTTCCTAAGACATTGGCGCGCCTTGGCAGCGTTTGGGCATGGAATTTGCCAGGGACGCAGCGGACGCGTTATCCGGACTGGTGGGATGGGTGGAAGCTTCATGTGAGTGGAAGCTGGTGGTGCCAACCAATGCAGAGGCGGCAGGAAATCTTATCCGCTCGTTTGAAGAAAGCACAGACATGTGATGAAAACAAAGATGGTCCCGAGCCTCGCTCATGCAGCATATAAGGCAGAAGGGTTCGTCATCCATCGTCGGTTTGGGAATTTGGCTCAGGTTCATTGCAACTCATTCGGATCTTGACTGATCCAGGTTTGGCCTGTCCGGCAGGCCTGTGTCCAAAACTTGTAGATTCAGGGCTGCCCAATGGGCAGTAAAGAGGAGGCAGTGCTGGAAGTAGACGTGTTAGTGCACAAATGCACAAGAAGCTCCTCATTTTCTAACATGACTGTAGGTGACCTCAGATGTAACACAGCAGACCAAGTGAATCGATTGAAGTGCGGCATTGAGCGGTGCTCCTCAAAGCTTGATGGCCACAGGGTCCACCAAGCCCTGAGTCTGTTTTGCCCTTGGCCCTTGGGTGTCTTTTCCACAACACCTGGCCTATCTCCTTTGGACTGACGTTTCGCTCTCGCTGGAGCGGAGAAAAGGGGGGACTGGTGCTGCTTCTCGGCTCGACTTCTTCACGGATTCAGTCCCAGATGTAGGGGGTGGGGGGGGGCTGAAAAGGACGGCCACCACCGACCCATAGGTCCATAGGACGTTATGAAGAAGATGCAAATAAAGCTAGCTTTGGAAGGTGTTTCCTATGCCCTAGGAAAGCCTTCCTCAAGATCGATTGAAGGCATCCTACACCCTTTTGGAAGACTGTGCCATTACTCACTGGGGTGCCTTTCTCCACGCCAGTGGCGTTGGATGTCTTTCTTCCATCGGCGGAGTAGGAAGCCTTCCACCAAGATTTGTCCCATCTGTATGGTTCGCTCTCTTTCCAGGCCGGAGTGGGAGCCTTGTTTGCTGCGAGTTTGGGGGGTCACCACATGTACAGTAACTATAGAGAACAGGCAACTTTCCAACTTTCAATTCGTAGTTCCCTTTGGCAGCAGGAATTTGAGTCCCATCTTGAAGCAGATCCTTTGAGAGCGTGTCTCTCCAAAAGATCTGACCGTGTCTTCGGACACAAGAGCAACCAAGGCAACGTGTTCCGCACCAAGGCCACGTGCACAGGAGCCGTGAAGCAAGCGACCTGTCCCGGCCGACCTGTGACCTGTCCCTGCGCCAACGTGTCGAAACGAGTGGTTCTTTCTCGGAGAGCATGGACACACTGGGATGGCCAGGCTACAAGGAACAGGAGCCAGATGCCTACCCCTTTGACAAGTCCGAGGGCCAAGCGGCTGTAGAACCGCTTAGGGCCCTGACGTATCAAATGCCTTTGGGGGTGTGGTGGCCATGGGTTTGGGCCTCAGGGGTGACAGCGTGTGCCTTTGACACACTTCTGAAGCACACCCCTCGGAAAGTGACAGGCCGGAGAGAAATGTTGATGTTAATGTGCTACTGCCATGAGGGTTGGTAAAGTGATGTTCAAGTGATGTTAAGGTTCATTAATTATCACGCTAGGGTTGTAAAGCGCACCCCCCGGAAAGTTGGTAAAGTGATGTTCAGGTTCATCCCAAACTTACCAGGAGGCCCCCAGTGCGATCGAACTTCGATCACTCCTCCCCTCCCGATCTGCAAATCGATGTTTAGCGGGTGATTTCTTGGGCCAAAGGGGGGTGTTCCAGTGTGGTGGTGCTGTGGCCAAAAGAGGGTCCAGTCTATTGGTCCTTTGCGAAAACGAGGCTACGAGGTTGGGGAGGCAACCCGCAGGTTGAGAGACATCCCGCATTCTTTTGAGGCCAAGATTGGCCTAACTCCCTTGCGCTGTCCCCTCAGGTCTTCCAACGTCTACTTGGCCGCAGCTCGGCTGTTTGATGTGGAGACTTGTTGAATTCCAACCATGCGCAACATCGTATGGCCTTTGAAGCCTCACAGACTTCTTAGACTTCCATGAAGCCGTAAGGCGTTCTGGTCCATTTCTTCGCGACTTTGGGATGGTGCTTCGCCCGGGAAACGCCCCGTTGTTTCAGCGGTGACGAGGTAGCAGCGACGTTCTTCCAGAAGTATGGGCTTGGAAGCTCAGAGGGGACATGGCATGAGTCAAACGTACTTTGCTTCATCTTGAGGAACCCCCGAATCAGCGGCACGACATTGCGCGCGCAGACGGATTGCAATGTTGGAATCTACAAATGGCATAGCAATCAATGTATTAATACCATTTGATACCCTCCTTGATGTATTGAATGCATTCACCGCGGTAAGCCTTTCTCGGAGTTGAAAGGCCAGACTCTGAGGTTGTACCTCATTGGCCTTTCCCTCATCCTCCTCGGCTCGCTGGTTTGTCCGGGGCACAGGTTTTGGTGCGGGGCACCATGGGAGGCATGCTGCAGCTCCACCGCCTCATCTTGTTGAAGCGACGCCTCCGTGCAACTCTTTTCTCGTCTTTTCTGTCCATATGCAACCAAAACCAGATAACTTGGCCTACATTACCCCCCGTGATGGGATTTAGATTTCCAGGATCCAGATGTAGCATGTGAAGACAACTGATTAGCAGAAGCCATGATCTACCCAATTCTACTGAAAGCATACATATTCAAGGACATGATGGCCTTGGCCGGCGATGGGCCAAATCCCAGCGGGCGAAGACCATCCGCAGCATGTGGTCCGTCAACGGCGCGTGCTTGTTCACGAGCTGTGCGTGCATCCAATGACGTGCCCATACAGCCCCTTTTCGGCCACCCCACCCTCCAGCCAACAAATCCAATGAGTGAACCTGTCCCAAGCCAGGGGGATGGAAGACCATTGCATGCCCGAGAGTCGCACACCCATCACCCACCTTTTGCCGAACGGCGCGCGGAACGGACGCCTCGCCTGCGAACCGCGGACGCCTCCGAGGCTGGTTGGATCAGCGGAACTCCGGTGAAGACCCGGAGATCGAGGACCGTGGCACGGGCAATCTACTAGTAAGGCACTTGCTACTACTAGCGTGGCACTTGTTCCTAAT